CATATAAATACTATTTTTAGAGATTATTTTAGAGATTATTTTCAAACAATTATTTTGCGTATATCAAATATACGTGTCAATTTTAAGTACATCATATATTTGATGAAATATATGACTTAAAATTAAACTTCCAAGGTATTCTTTGTTAAAAGCTTAACAATTATGATCAAAGATAAAATATATAGTTACGTTTAATTTATTAAGAAAAAAATAATTACGTTAATTGAAGCTTATCTTTAAAAATTTTGATAAAATTTTATAAATGTATGATAACATATAAATATGAAGAAAAATACTGCAATATAATTTTTTTCATCAAGTTTAAAATATACAAAAGAGAAGAAGAAATTCAATAAATTATTTGCATGATCTCGACACATATTTAACGTTTTCTTACATTATATAAAAATATTTTGAGAATAATGTAAAATATTCATTTTTATGAATGAAATCAAAAGACACATATAATTAGACATATATAATTTTTCTAGATAAAGTAAACTAAACGATATTTTTCTAAATTTATTTCATTTCTCTATCTTCTAGAATAAGATAAAATTATCAGTTGATGATACAGTTTAAAATACAATATATTATGAAATTCAATTTTCAATTCAATTCAATTTAATATTTGCAATATATTTAAACTTTCTACATATATGTGTTGGATTTTTTAAATATATTTTCAAAAATAATGTGTAGGAGAAAAAGAGATCCGGATGATAAATAAAATTCATAGAATAAAAGGTTAAGGAAGAGATATTAGGTGTTGAGTACGTAAAAGCGATTTTAATGTGCTAAAATAATATTTACAAAAAATTTTAACAAAGTATGTTTGAAATAATAAATAATTAAAAAATAAACGTTTCAATTCACTTCGAATACTTATCAATATCGTTTATAATAAATCTTAAATTAATGCAAATCGAAGTTGTTCGAACGCAAAAAAACATCGCGGTAAAAACGTATAGTAAAATAGCAGAAAGAGAAACACTATCGAAAAAACGATCGCATAATTAAAAAATCACAAAAAATCTCGAGATAGACGAAGAAGACGACAAAAGGGGGATCTCTCGAACGAAGAAAGCCAGTCCATCCAAAAATTAATCTCGAGGATAAAATGCGTAAAGTTAGGTGGTAAATCCAACAATTAAACTCCAGTGACTCTCGAACATCTCAAATGCTAAAATCACGTTGTTAAAATAATAAAAATTAGTAACATCTGAAATTAAAATATAAAGTAACAGAAATGAGAAAATATTAATCTGAATCCAAGCACAAAAAATCCGTTATAGAATTATAAAAATTATTGATAAAAACAATATACTTGTCAAAAAGAAAATAATATCTGTGGGTGATCTGGCGAATAATTAACAACGCTCTTGCTAATTAAATAATAAATTTATTACAACGATCACAATGTTCGGTAGTGAAACGTAAACCCGTACAAGAGATGATAGCGAGACTAGTATAAGGCACGAGCACTGGATGTGACTCCTGTGAAGGCGTGGAAGTCAGTGAGTGTCTCGAAGTCAGGATTCCGCATGCATGATCCGAGGGAAGATTTTTATGGTAGAAGAAATTCTATAAAAAACCATGTGTTTGCCACGTGTTGTTTGGCGATATATAGGCTCGGTGGAAGGCTACGAAACATACAAGGGTTGTAAATTCTGCCAAAGTGAAAGTGGATGTCGGATGCATGCAGGGATTAGAAAGCTGACAGCATATGTGAAGATGAAGGAAAATTTAGTATAATATATAAGGGAGAATATATGTACACGTGTGATACAGACGGAGTAGGAGACAATTGTCCCTACAGTACCCCCCTGCTAGTGTTTAACGATAGGAATCATGCAAATCCTCCTTGTAGCCGGTCCGGGAAGCGGACACGTCTACCTGATTTGGTTACGTGTTTAGTCGAGTTTCCTAGTGCTGGTTTCTGCTGTGTATGTCTTTGTGTATCTGGTAGGTCTGTGATCACAGTGTCCTTTCCGGAGGGACCTGGAGCGTCCTCTACGTTGCTGCCATCCTGAGAGACGACTGGATCGTCGGCCATGATGTACGCTGGTTTAAGGCGGTCGATGGAAACGGTAACGTCGCGGCCGTTTATGCGAACCACGAACGTCTTCTCTGCCCGTTTGATTACTTTGTATGGGCCGTCATACGGTTGTTGCAGAGGCTGTTTGAGACCATCATGGCGTATAAAGACTTCCTCCGAGGTAGCAAGGTCTTTAAAAACGAATGTCTTTCCCGTACCGTGGCGAGATACCTTCGTCGGTCTCAATTCCCTCAGATGTTGGCGTAGCTCCTTGACGAAATCTGACACGTTGTCCGCTGCGTTGTTGCAATATAGAGATCCTAAGAACTCGCCGGGAAGACGCAGCGACTGCCCGTAGACCATATCGGCCGCCGTGGCTTGCAGGTCCTCTTTCCAAGCTGAGCGGATTCCCAGCAAGACGGTGGAAAGGCTCTGTGTCCAACGGCACTGTTGTTGGCACATGATTGCTGCTTTCAGTTGACGGTGCAGCCGTTCAACCATGCCGTTGGCTGAAGGGTGATAAGCGGTTGTTCTCAAGTGAGTCGTACCTAACAAGTGATTTAATTGCTTGAAAAGATACGACTCAAATTGTCCTGGTCTGTGGTTATTCTCAACGGCGTGCCAAATCGAGATATTCATCCGTCGTAGAGAGCACGTGCGACCGTTGAAGCTTCTTGGTCGTGCAGGGGGACAGCTTCTGGCCAGCGAGTGTATCGATCTACCATAGTCAGGCAGTATCGATGTCCTTCTGACAATGGCATGATTATGATGTCGATGTGAATATGCTCAAACCTGGCAGAAGGTGGCGCGAATGTGCCGACAGGTGAGGAGACATGGCGAGAGATCTTGGCACGTTGGCACTGGATGCAGCTGCGGGCCCATTGTCTGCAATCAGATTTAATCGACGGCCAAACGTAACGTTGGGTTACGAGCTTAACCGTCGCGTTGATTCCCGGGTGGGACAGCTGGTGCAATGAGTCGAATGCAATTTTCCTGAGCCCTTGGGTAACGAAGGGCCGCGCTATTTGCGTTGAGACGTCGCAAAATACCGCAACGTTGGTGCCAGGAATGCGTACTTCTTTTATTAATAGTGTGGAATCTTCTTCCAAGTATCGCTGGAGCTCTTCATCCTCTTGTTGGGCTGCTGCCAAGGCTTCAAAATCGAGCGTATGCTGAATTTCCTCCACGCGCGACAGAGCGTCCGCTACCACGTTGTCCTCCCCGGACACATGGCGGATATCGGTGGTGAACTGTCCGATGAAGTCTAGGTGTCTGAACTGCCGAGGTGAGCATTGGGCCGTCTTCTTGAGGAATGCATAGACGAGAGGTTTGTGGTCCGTGTAGACTGTGAATGATCGTCCCTCCACGGTGTACCTGAAGTGCTTAATTGCTAGGTAAATAGCAAGTAACTCCCGATCGTAGGCTTCGTACTTTGCTTCCGCAGGACTTAGCTTCTTGGAAAAGAACTCAAGGGGTTGCCAGGCACCTCCGATCCGTTGTTGGAGGGCTGCTCCGACTGCGTAGTCTGACGCGTCGCTGAAGATTGCGAGCGGTGCGTTGGGCTCAGGATGAGCCAGCAAGGTTGCTTGGGCTAAGCATTCCTTGCTTGCTTCAAATGCCTCTATGGTTGTTGATGTCCAGTTGACTGGCGATTTCCCTTTTACATTACCTAGCAGTAGATTGTTAAGCGGTGCTTGAGTCTCCTTGGGCAAGAATCTTCTATAAAAATTCAACATGCCCAAGAATTGACGCAACTTCTTCACAGTGTCAGATCGTGGATAGGCCCGTATAGCGTCGACCTTTTCCGGTAACGGGCGCGTTCCTGTGCCGGAAACGAGGTAGCCAAGAAATTTAACTTCGGGCTGTCCAAATACGCACTTAGCTGGGTTGATGACGATACCATACTTCTTCAGCCGCTCAAACAGTATTCTCAGGTGTTCTACATGTTCTGCTTCCGACGTTGATGCGATGAGGATATCGTCAATGTACGCGTAGCAGAATTCCAGCCCTTGCAGCACCTCGTCGATAAAGCGCTGGAAGGTCTGCGCGGCATTACGCAGCCCGAAGGTCATGTACTCGAACTCGAAGAGTCCGAAGGGCGTCGTGATGGCCGTCTTTGGAATGTCCTCCTCCGCGACAGGAATCTGATTGAAGGCTCGTACCAGATCGAAAGTGGAAAAGACGTTTTTCCCACGGAGTGACTGGGAGAAATCCTGGATGTGTCTCACGGGATATCGATCCGGATAGGTTCTCGCATTAAGGGCGCGGTAATCTCCGCAAGGCCGCCAGTCGTCGCCCCTCTTCGGCACCATGTGCAAAGGCGATGCCCAGGAGCTCTGCGACGGGCGAGCGATTCCCAGGCGCAGCATGGCCTCGAACTCCTTCTTCGCCGCCTCCAACTTCTCCGTTGAAAGGCGACGTGGCCTCTGTGCGACGGGTGGCCCTGGGGTGGTGGTGATGTGATGCCTCGTCGAGTGACTTACGGCCTTAGACGCTCCATCCGGTCGTGTCACCTCCGGGAATTGGTGGAGGAGCTCATGATGCCGCGATGAGCCTGAAATGGTCTTAACGCTCGGAATGTCACACTCAATCACCCTTCCACGAGAGGTGAGTTGAGTGGTTGCGTCCAATAGCCGCTGGTTCCTCATGTCCACCAGGAGTCCGTAGTGTACGAGGAAGTCTGCGCCGATGATCGGCTTGGACACAGCGGCAACGACAAATCTCCAGGTGAATTGCCGTCGCAGTCCAAAGTCCAGTGTGAGCGCTATCGTTCCGTATGTGGCGATGGTTGTTTCGTTCGCCGCGGAGAGCTCGTAGTTTGATTTCGCACGGGGTCCCGGCAGATGCGAGCGTGGGAATACACACACGTCGGCCCCCGTATCAATTAAGAACTGTGTCTTCGTGGACCGGTCACTGACGAAGAGGCGGCGCGATATCGCGGGGCTGATGTCGTCGGCCGCCATTAGCGACTGCCCTGTTCGTTTCCCGATGAATTATCGTCGTATTTACACGGCTTGGTGCAATTTCTTGCCAGCGCCCCGTACCAGCAAATATCGCTAGCTGCACTAGGAAGCCGGCTCCGCGATCGCGCACGCGACCGGGAGCGTGAGCGTGGCGGGGAACGTGAGCGTGATCCTTCGCAGGCTTCGCAGGATCCGCCAATAGGATGACGCGCTCCTTGCGTAATGACCTCGATGGCCGCGAGTCTTTGCACTATCTCCGTCATCATGCGGGTTAGACTGTCATCATGAGCCGGGCAGGGTGCGGTGGCTGTTGTCTCCGCGATGAGTCCAACTGGTCCGTACAAATCCGCAATTGAATCCGCGATATCGGCTCGTTTCTCGAGCGTGAGGTCCCGATGCGCCGCGAGGAGTGCTTGGACATGTCTAGGCAGACGGCCTAACCAGAGCGTCTGCAAGATGTCCTCTGGGAACTCCTTACCGGCAAGGCCACGTAGATGTCGGAGAAACTGTGACGGCTTGCGGTCTCCGAGAGGCTCGTTTTCTAGTAAACGACGCGTGTTCTGCTCGCGCGACGAGCCAAGGCGCTTGATAAGCTCGCTCTTCAAAAGCTCGTATGATCGTTCCTCTCTCATGAGTATATCGCGAATCTCCAGGGCATACCTTTGATCGAGGGCTATGATGACATGGCCATATTTGATGCTGTCCTGAGTTACCCCCGCAGCTGCGAAACCGCCCTCGAGCATCATAAACCACAACTCCGGGTCCGTGGGTATGAACGGTGGTACCTTCACTGACACTTGATCGATCGAGGTTGCACGCGACGGGTCCGTAATTTCGCGGTTCGTGACACCACTAGCGTTGTTGTGCGCCATACTGATAAACTCGGAGCGTCCAGCACTACGATGCACAGCACAGATCACTCACGATTCGCAAGAACAACAAATTTCAGATCACGTCGGGGTCACCAATTTGTGGGTGATCTGGCGAATAATTAACAACGCTCTTGCTAATTAAATAATAAATTTATTACAACGATCACAATGTTTGGTAGTGAAACGTAAACCCGTACAAGAGATGATAGCGAGACTAGTATAAGGCACGAGCACTGGATGTGACTCCTGTGAAGGCGTGGAAGTCAGTGAGTGTCTCGAAGTCAGGATTCCGCATGCATGATCCGAGGAAAGATTTTTATGGTAGGAGAAATTCTATAAAAAACCATGTGTTTGCCACGTGTTGTTTGGCGATCTATAGGCTCGGTGGAAGGCTACGAAACATACAAGGGTTGTAAATTCTGCCAAAGTGAAAGTAGATGTCGGATGCATGCAGGGATTAGAAAGCTGACAGCATATGTGAAGATGAAGGAAAATTTAGTATAATATATAAGGGAGAATATATGTACACGTGTGATACAGACGGAATAGGAGACAATTGTCCCTACATATCACTTAGCAGAACAGGAAGACAACAAATAATACACGCGATAGAATACAAACGCTGACAAAGGAATCATAACGGATACGGGATGCAAGAAACACAGGTGGTGGGAGAAATAGGTGACGTATTAGGAACTTAAAAAGCATGATGACATCTAAATAGTTTGAACATCTAAAATGATATTGAATTATTGGATAAGTTGTACCTTCCTATCATTAAAAAGGTATCGACACTTAAAAGTTCCTGCGAAATATCTTTCTTCTCTCTCTTCTCAGTAAACATGATAACATCTAAAGACATCTTAATAACGTTTTAATGATCTTTACGTCATTAATATGTCATTAAGACGTTTTCGCAATAAAGACTTTATATTTTACGTTGGAACGATATCCCTATTCTCTCATCTAATCATTCCGTATTCACGCAATCTACCGATCACGGATCATCATCATTCGCCTCTGCAGCTTATCAGAACTCGGATTCGAGTGTCTTTACAAATTGCCTTGAAAGAGGTAGACCTTTTAACTGTTACGATGCGAACTTGATATTGGAAGAGCGCGGGTGCGGACATAGGATCGTTTCTGGTGTAATAAACTCTTATGTACTTCTCAAATCTTGTGCGGTCGTTAGTGTCGAGTTCCATGTGAACCCGAGTTACGTGCCCATACAGCACATGAACATTGAATAAACATCGCAGAAACGTTGCAATACAATTTCGCAATGTTGCATCCACGTTATAAAATATAGATTCAACGTTGAAAATAAATTACAGAAACGTCTAATGTCCGCTGAATTGCAATGTCTTGTAGATATAGCAATTCAATATTCAAAAAACATTTATTTAATATTGATTTATTGTTGATTTAATATTGATTTAACATTGATAAATATTGACTTAATGGTTGCTTAGCAAAACATTTTTTTACAACTGCTTTTTTACAATTTAAAAGTTTTCTGTGTTGAGATTAGATTTTTTTAAGTCTAAAAAATTAATCCAATCTCAATTTAAGAAAACTTTTAATAGTTGGAAGTAAAATGTTCTACTAAACACAACTATATATATTATGCGATTTCATAATAAATAACTTCATAATAAAATGTTAAATTTGTATAAAGATGTTTTATTTAAAAAATAGAATATGTGTGTGTGTGTGTGTGTGTGTGTGTGTGTGTGTGTGTGTGTGTGTGTGTGTGTGTGTGTGTGTGTGTGTGTGTGTGTGTGTGTGTGTGTGTGTGTGTGTGTGTGTGTGTGTGTGTGTGTGTGCCCTAACACATGTAGATACTGAGAATGTTCGAAGAATATCGCAAAAGTACAATATATTCTCAGAATATTCGAGATACATACTATGATATATTAAGTATATACTAAGAATGCTCTAATGTCCGCCTATTTTGGTTAATAGTAAATACAGAGAATACCTTGTAATATAATTTATATATGTAATGTAAATATTTTTGATAAATGCCGTAAACACACACACTATTTCTCATTTCTTAATTTTAAATAATCTTTTTAATATTCTAAATCCAGGAATCCAGAACAACCAGGAATCCAGAACAACCAAACTACTAAACAAATTTTAAATTAAATCAGTTTATTATAAATTAAACTGACTAAAAAGAAAAAAGAAGAAACTTTGGAACTCATGTTCGTACCAGTCCTTTATGTCCATTTCACCAAAAATTAAGAACGAATTTGATAGCGCGTGTAGCGGCAAAATGAGGAAACACATGCAATATTATAGAATATCCTGAAAATATACGAGAAAGAATATACTAATATGAGATATTCAAAGTATATTCTGAGAATATATGTAAAATAATATACAACAAGTGATGTTATGAGATTATTCTCAGTATATTACATCTGTAATGTATATTTAGAGTATAGAATATTCGAATGCTGAATATCATGTGCTGTTAGGCTAATTAATATAAATTTTAAATTATATATAAATGTAAATAAATAAATAAATAAATGAATAAATAAATAAATGTATATATATATATATATATATGTGTATGTATGTATATATATATATATATATATATATATATATATATATACGTATATATGCAGGGTAATTCTAAATAATCTTATGTTTTTGCAAAGACATAATCTTGATCGAATTCTAAGACGATTTTTCCTTTGGCGAAATTTCGTACAAAGCATAGTTTTTGAATTATTAAGAGAAATATTTTACTTATTACGGGTCGGATACAAGAGGCATGCAAGGGCGGCGCAACTGACCGTCAGACGCGGGCGCTCACGCAGGGCGTCTTCGGCGATCAGCTGTTCGCTATACTGTGCACGAACATACATGCGAATACATACATTCTCTCTCTCTCTCTCTCTTCTCCTCCCTCCCAAAAATATGTAATTGTTAATTGAAAATTACATATTTTTTTTCATAAAAACAACAATGTGTTTTCTTTACACCAATTGATTCCTCTCATTATTTTGTACATAAAATTATTAAGGTAAAATGATCGAAAAATGAATATTTTACAAGATATTTTACGGTTTATGTAAAATTAAGAAATGATTTCAAGCCTCATAACTCGAAAAGTACTCAATGAAGAAATACTTTATTATAGCGTTTTGGAAAGCTCTCGAGATAAGCTACACGAATACGTAATAAAAAATAGGGAGTTCTATTTAAGAAATTGACGGTGAATTTCAAATGACTCTCCCATGTCAAATTATTGCCACTACCGGATGGCTCCCTTCAAGCCATACAACTTTTGCCTGAAACATTTCTTTCTTAAGTGCATAGTTTATGAAATATTCGACCAGTCCCGGACTTTTCGGATACTCTGTACACATATACATTTACAAGTTATTTATAGAAGATGGACCTCATATACACATATAGACATTTATTAGATATCTATTAGATAAATTTTTCCGTGTGGGTATTAACTAGAAAACAATTGTATAACATGTTTTAATCTTATCAATTCAAAAGTTAACATACTTTAAAACGATTAAAAAGACAATCAGGAAGTCTCATGTACATGCATATAACAAAAGTAATAAGATGTAAAAAAAATGTACTATAGTTTAGATTGTGAAATATAAATAATCAACCGAATGTATAATTTGATTGACAAATTCAAATAACAATGTAATCTACATGAATACTATACATTATTACACTTTATTATATTCTTAAAAAATTTGTTTTTATTAAAATTTATTTCCAAAGAGCTATTTTTTCTTGTATCGTTTATCCATACAAAACATCACGTGTAATTTAGTTAAAAAATTAATTGTTAGTTCAATATATCTGATAAAATGTACATTTTATATTATATGTCTTACACGGTCACATAATTAATTATAATTATCGACAAATGACTGACAATTATTTTATAAGTTCATTTTATTAAATGCAGAGTACATATGCAATAGCATATAGAGTGTAATGATTAAGGAAAATTATCTGATCAATTATATTTTCTCATTATTATAATATGCGAAGTCATGTATTCGAAATTTTGTATTTGAGATAAATGTTGATCATGTAGTTTCCGCAATTCATCGTGACTCACTTCCTTATTCGCACATCTTTTGTGTTGGCGCGTACACTTTATAATTTGATCCAACTTGGACCACGACAGCCAGTACCATTTCCAGTCACTTCGTGATAAGTTGATCGGCTGAGATAGATCCAAATGTGTCAATTGCTGTAATCGTCCATTACGATACCGCATTCAAGTACGTCATATTTATTATTTATCATTTATTATTATTATCATATATATTTAGTATTATTATCATATACAGACAGAGAACGTCCTTAATTTTTGTATTTCAATGACAGATTTCTTCGCGAAAATCGTTCATTTGATGATGAAAAGAATGTGAATTATCAATAGATAATTGATTTGAAAAAGTGATGCAATGTGTCTCCATTCATTAATTTACATACAATAATAATAACACGTGAGTTTGACATTTACCTAAGATAAGAATGACGTGAGTCAGATATGTTTATATTTTGAAGTGATAAACGATATTACTGATTATATTCGTTGCGTTAATACGATTGTAGCAGTATGCAAATTATTATTTTGCAAGCATAATATTAAAACACATGGTCCAATCCAAAACTTTATATAGAGTGTATAGTTCATTATCTTAGGAACTTTTCTACTTATGTTATTTACGGTTTTACTCATTTTATCTCCACTTCGCTATTATAAATGCTCGACAGCATTCCTTCGCGATTTTACGATATAGAAAAAAAATATTGATATAGAATATAGTATATTAAAGTGAAGAAATGAGATTTCTCATTCGGTTGATTTCAACGTGGCAAATTTGTGCTAAATAGATATAGAATTATATATTTAATTAAGATTATGTATTTATTAAAAGCATAAAATAAAATTTTATTTATTATTGCTTATCTTTAAATTACATTAATAAATT